AAGGAAGAAAGGAAGAAAGGAAGAAAGGAAGAAAGAAGTCACCAGTACTGGGGGAAACAAGTGGCTGCCAGCCCAGAGGGGTCAAGGCAGGGGTCTTTGAGGCAGCGCCTGAAAGGTCCCACTTCAGGTCAAGCCAGGGGCTCTTCTTGTAACTAAGCATCACTTCTGCAGCCCGTGTGCGCCTGGAAGGTCACGGAGGGAGCCTGCAGCTTCACAGCTGAGGTCCAAACCTGAAGTGTCTTTACCACTGTCGTGGGAACCGCCCTTTCCGGTGAGGGCACGCGCACACCCCTCTCGGGGATGAAGGACTCCAAGTGCTTTCCAGGTGCTTGGCACGAGCTAGCACGCAGCTGGCACTCAATACGTGATACCTATTTGGTTTTGTTTTTTTTTTTCCTCCCCCCACCACATACTTTAGGTGCTTACAAATAAAACCACAATGTCATGCAATGGCTGCGGCGGTGAGAACGCAGGCCTCGATCGTGCCCAAACAGGTGTGGTCAGGGAGACGCGTGCACGGTTTTCTATCCTGCCAGCAGTCCCGCTTGGCCCCAGCAGCCCAGGACAGCCCTGCTCTTGGACTCTGGCTCTTGGTGACTGAACCCAGACCCCACCGTAGCCGCCAGTAAGCAAGGCTGTACGGTGTAGATGGGCACATTGTGGTTGGAAAAAGAAGTACAGAGGGTTAGAGAACGGAACGCTTGTTAGTCTGGGTGCTCCAAGAACCAACTGCCAAGAGATGATTAAGTGTGCAAGGTTGTTTTTCATTAGGGAAAATGCCTGGGAGGAAATTGGGGGAGGGCCGGATGAGGCTGGGGAGGGGGTGGCCAGACCTCAGCACAGGTCTGCCCTGGGTGAAGGTAAGAGGGAGAGAAGGTGGCTGAAAGACACTCTCGACCATGTGCAGTTTAAGGAACGCTCAGCTGGGGCCTTGGAGTCTGGAAGCCAGGGCCAGCAGGCTGGGGACAAAACGAGCCTGTCCTAGCACCTCTGCCACACCTGACAGGTGTGTGAGCTCCCTGCAGTGTGGGGCCCGCAGTCAACTCCAGCCATGACGGAAAGTCTGGGGCAATTCTCCTGATAGCCACAATATCTTTTTTTGGAAGAAATCCTGCCAAGGCAAAATATGATTGAGGCAGGCAGCAAAAATAAAACAACACAAACATCCCCCAAACGATGGCAACAGTAAAACCTAGCCCCAAATTGCTGTGTCTGTATGGCATCCCTGTGTGTTGTGGCTTGTGAGAGCTGTGCCTCTTCTCCTAGAATCTGGGCTTGCCCATGGCAGCTGCTTTGGTCCCTGGACTGTCCCCAGCATGACACAACGGAGGCTGGCAAAGTACTCGTGCTTGGGGACTTGACCTATCTTTCTAATTCTGGACTCCTGAGATGTCATAAGAAAGTTTGGACCAGCCTTCTGGGGGAAGAGAGACAACATGAAGCATAGACCAAGGCCCTCCCACCACCAGCCACAGGAGTATGGCCAAGCTAGACCTCTACCCTGGGTGAGCTACCAGGGATGGAGGAGCTCAGCCAGGTCCAGCTAGAACCAAGAGAAATGCTGGGTAACCCTAAGCAGGGTAAGAAACAGTGATCACTTCCTGCTTGAGGTTGCCAAGTTGGGGCCAGTGTGTTAAGTAGTAAAAGCTAGCTGGCATGGTTTATGTCCATTGAACGGGCAGATGAATGGCAACCTACAGACATGTAAAAGGTCCTAATGAACTGAAGCCTCCAGTGTTAGCTTTCCTAACAGTCTCCTGGGCCAGCTTTCCTCATCTGTGTCAGAAAGGGACCTCCAAGTTCAACCCTTAATCTCTTTTGAATGGGCAGTACTAAGGTGTCAGGTGGCCCTTCTACGACACTGAAGTCACAGGGACACACACAGAGGAATGCCCAACTTCTGAAGCAAGGTAGATGAGGCTGCAGGGTGACAGGTATTTTCTCTAGCCAGTCTTTACATTCCTGCGGGCAGAGTGTAATAACATAATTTATATTTCTCTTATATTCCTCTTCACAATTGTGCTCTTCTATGTCATCATTCATTCTACAAATATTAGGAAACAAAGCAAACATCCCTGTTTGCACTTGAGCTCTAGGTGGGACACAGACAATGACCAGGATAAAAGTTAATACAATACAGATGGTTGTGGTGAGTGCTAAGACTTGTGAATAAGATGTGGAATAGGAGGATGTGGTGCATGGTTATATGATGTGGCCTCACTGGGAAGGTGGCATGGATTAGTGGCTAAGGAAAGTGGCAAAGGGCAGGTATCAGTCAGCTTTGTGAAAGGATAACAAATACGTGAGACCATGAAGTTAGAACTGGTTTTGGCAGATCCAGTTCACACCTGGTGGGCTCCATTACTGTGGCCCTAGCTGAGGTCCTCCCCTGCTATGTCCTCTTCAAGGGCACAACCCAATGACTTAAGGATCCTCCCATCCCTCCTGTAAAGTTCCACTGCCTCCCAGAAGTACCACCCTGGGGACAAGGTCTTGGGGATATTCAGCACCCAAACAGTGGGGAAGCTTGTAGGGGGAGTACGGGTTTATGAAGAGATGCCCAGACCATGGGGAGAGCTGGCAGCTCCAGGAGTGACAGGAGCCTGCGCTGGAAGAGTCAGGAAGAGAGGAGAGCAGAGCATCCTGCAGGTCTTTCACGTCAGATTCAGGATGCAGAGTGAAATGAGGATGTAGGAGCACAGAGGTGACGTGGTCTGACATTGTAACAGGCTGTCTCCTGAGGCTGCGTTAAAAAATCACCTGAAACGAGGCCAGAGCAGAAGCAGAGAGGCTGTGAGGAGGCTCCCACAATGACCCAGGTCTGGCTTTGGATTGGAAGCCAAGGGGCGCTGTCCGGGCTAGGCGTGCTTAGTCATTGTGGAGGGGAAATACTGAGTCGTGTCTTCTTGCCCAGCATTACGGTATCCGAAAGACTGGCCAATGGAACAATGCTCCTGGACCTGAGCAAGTTCTGCTTTGACAGTGACAGCGAAGCCCCACACAATGCATTCAACTTCACCGCGCCATCTGGAGCGGGGAGCAGCCGCAGATTTTTACAGGATCCAGCTGGCTCTGGGAAAATCATGGTCAGTTTATGGTCATTGCATCATTAAAAGGGCATGAGGGAAGCTGGTCCAACAGGCACAGAGCTTTTGGTGCCCCGCAGAGAGAGATTTCCAAGGTAGCCCCCTCTCCGAGCCACAGTAACTCACAGACTTAATAGTGAGCCCGTGCTCCCTGTTAGGTCTTTATTTTACCCAGGTTCCGGGAACGTTTGTTAAGCATGGCTGGGCTGGGGGTGCTAAGGACCGGATTCTTCCCCGCACAGCTCGGTTTGTGTGCCTGCATAGTGCGCTTTTACGGGCACATTAGTGCCCTCTGCACTCAAGCGCTGTGTTTATTTGAGTGCTGGTTCCACAGATGAGGTGTGAGGGGAGGAAGCAGGGCTCAGCTCGCACTGTGGCCTGACAAATTCTGCATCGTAGAGCTGCTGGAGACCCAAGGGGGACAGAACAGGGAGGCTGCAAATAGCTTGGGGGGAGCGTGGAAGGTGGCCCCAGCCAGCCTGGGGGGCCTCCGCTTATGGACACCTGCTGGAGGGCAGTGGGGAAGGAGAGGAGGAGGGAGGCACAGGCACAAGTGGGTGGCAACGTGGGGGTGTCAGGGCTGGGGAAGGAAGGCAAGCGGGTCTACACCATTCCTTCTGCCCCACCTCCTTCTCTGCCTCTTCCTCCCTCCATCCTCAAGAGTCTCACCAACTTCATTCACTGCCGTGTTTTTCTGTTTAGGAAATCAACCTCTGCTCACTATAGAGAAATGTAAGCACAGAAAAGCATCACCGTTCTGTGATAACTGCAGTTGCTCTTTTGCCACATTTTCCTCCCGGTCTGCTACCTAGTATGCATTGTGTGTGCACATTCTACACATATGTGCATACATAGGTTAAATAATGAAAGCTTCCCTGGGTAACAGGTTCCGTGTCATGCCTGTCTTCAGCTAATCTGAAGTCATGAGCTTCTGCTTGTGCAGAATGCTGGGTAAGCATCTTGGTACATAGATTCTCCTTCCTGGTGAATTCCTTAGAGTAAATTCTCTAGTAGTGCACAAAACTATGATTATAACTTTTTGAAGCTCTTAAAATCATAAGAAAATGATTTCCAAAAGGATGGTGCCAATTTCAGGGTCTACCAGTGGAATATGAAAATGTCAACATGTAGGATTGTTTATTCTGTATCATCTAGTTTCTGTTTTAATCTAGTTGATTGGTGATCTCGACTACGAGGATCCCAGCAATCTAGCTGCCGGCAATCAGTACGCTGTGGTAATCCAGGTGCAGGATGCAGCCCCTCCTTATTACACAAGCAAGTATCATTTTCACTAATGGGCCTGTTCCTTGAGCATCAGTGATAAAACTACACAGGCAATGCTAGGAATTGGGCTAGGTTTCCCCTTCCACTAGCAGAGCTCTAAGCAGGGTACCTCCCTTTCTTGGCAGAATTGCAGCATGGAAGACTCTTTAAAGTCTCTGTGCCTCAGTCTCACTCCTTTCCAGTGCGTCTTTCCTGTTCCAGCTAGTGATTTTTCTAGGAAATGCAAACACCATCACGTGGCTTCCTTGAGCGCATCCTGTGGCTGGCAAGTTCACATGCAAACCCTGGCTTGGAGCAGGGAGTTTGCGTGGCTGCGGCTCACCTCCCTAGCTAGGGCTCTGGTCTCAGCCCTTCCAGCTTCTTTTTTTCCCCCAACTGGACCAAACCCTTTGCAGTTGCCCTGAGTGAATCACATACTTTTATTCTTCAGTCTTCTTGCACATACCCGAGAACATCCCCCAAGCCACACTACACATTCCTCCCAGTTTCTTTAATTCTATCCTTGTCAGGCTAAGCTAACACTTCCCACTTAAGCATCTTGAGGTCAGGAACACATAGGTCTTATCCACCTGTATCCCAGAGCCCATACTCAGATTGTACTTTTAAAGTATTGAATAAGCCCTCCTGCAATTGTAGCTACTTGGGAGGCTGAGGCAAGAGGACTGCATGTTTGAGCCCAGCCTGGGCAGCTTAGTGAGATGATATCTCAAAGTTAAAAAAAAAAAAAAAATTAAAGGCCTGGGAATGTATCTCAGTGGTAGAGCACTTGCCTAGCATGTGCAAGCCCCTAGGTTCAACTCCTAGTACTGAGAAAACAAAAAGTTGGATAAACTAATGAATAACAATTTAAATAAGTTTGTTTTCCATTTCCATCTTTAGATAACATCCACATTTCTATCTTAACAAGCCCGGAGAATGAGTTTCCTCTTGTCTTCGAGAGGCCATCCTATGAGTTTGATGTGTCAGAGGTAAGACCAGGTAAGTTACAAGGTACTACAGCCCTCCTGCCAGACTCAACCCAAAGGCCTGTCCTGGGAAGGCAAAGCTCCCGATGGTGCTATGTGCAGTGATTTACAGCTGATTTCTGGTTTTTGCCCCTCTTATTTTTTAAAAAAAAACTATCCTTGCTGGTGCCAAACTCTTTGGTAAAACTTGGACTGTATTTTATTTATTTATTTTTTACTATTTTTATCAATTAATTTTTTTCGGGGGTACCACAGATGGAACCCAGGACCTTGTGCTTGCCAAGCAGGCTATTTCATTTTTTATAATTAAATTTATTGGTACAATTTAGACATGCATGTTGCTCACATTGATCATAGGGAATCTGTGCTTGTACGTGATATATCTTACTTCCTCCATATTTGAACTTGGGTTTTAAGAACTGTTGATTCCATCGCCTTTCTCTGAAAGCTTGCTTGTCTGCCTGATTCCGCTAATCCTGCTCTCTGTGTCTTTCTCTTGGTCTCCACTGTGACTTTTTACCAGCTCACTAAGAGAAGTGAAATTTTAAAATTTCCTATTTCTCTATCTCCTTCATTGAAAAATAAAATCAACTCCTTTCTCTCTCCTGTGCTCCGATTCCCCGGAGGCCGGCTCGCTGCTGCCCTTTCCTCCGCTGCTGCCCTTTCCTGGTCTCTGCAGGCTCCTCCCTCAGCAGGGAAGCCCTGACTGGAGCTTCTTCAGCAGCTCCCCCCCTGTCTGCTGTAGCTCCCCAGGGCAACTGAGGTCACAAACTCAGCTGCCACCACACCACAGGCTTCCTGACAGCCCGGGAGTCTGAGATCAAACAGACTTCTCCCATATTTAAAAGCTAAACCAAATCCAAACCAAACCAGTCTTTCAGAAAAGAAAAAAAGAAGGTCCACAGAAAAGGCTTTTAATTTCTCACTTTACCTAGGGAATGACACTTTGCCTAGTGAATAACACATTCACCAGAAACAGGCTTTTCCTGATTTCACAGATTTTACAACAATTATTTTTGACCACCAGCTCTGGGTCACACACCTGGTGCTGGGGCTGTAGAACTAAATGAGAGGTGCTTTCTGCCCTGGAGGAGAGTAGTTTATGAGCAAGAGCTTCTAATAAACAGCCAAGCCAGAACTCCAGCCGGCCCACCAAAAAGAGTTCTAAAAGAACCAAAATGGAAGAGCATTAAGAACCTCTTCTCTGTAATCATCAGTGACTAAATTCTTTTTAAAATTATTTATTGTTTCACGTTGTTTGTAAGGGCCATTCATGCTTGTTATTAAAAAATGCTGAAAATACTCGAGACTTTTAGGGAGCCCCAAGGCCAAGAGTTGTGTGTGAGGACGGATGTCCTTGGCACTGTTGTTTATGGTAGCAAAATAATTGGCATCCTTGAGCTATCTTTCACGTCTCGCAGCTGTGCTTGGATATGGGGCCAGTTACCCAGTGGCTGATCAGTAGCATTATTTGGATGTAGGACGATTGAAGATACAAAGTGCCGCACAGGTTCTGAACAGCAAGGAGGCCTTCCAAAGCCTTTCTGCCCGAGGCACTGAGAACATCTCTTTCTGTCACCCAACCCCTACCCAACCAGGACTGACAGCAGGCACTTTATTCTTCCAGCTAGAACCCAGGTTGGACAGGTGCGAGCAACGGATAAGGACCTCCCCCAGAGCAGCGTCACGTACTCCATCTCCAGCGGAGGGGCCAGCCCCCAGCACCCCAACATATTTTGGATTAATCCCAAGACGGGGGAACTCCAGCTAGTAACTAAGGCAGACTATGAAACCACCCCCACCTACACTCTCAGAATCCAGGCCACCAACGGCGAGGACACAAGCTCTGTCACTGTGAGTGGGGCTGTTTGGTAGATCCTCACTCACTCCCCCAAGTGGTTGACTTAGGGTCTCCCTGGCACCTCCATGGTGTGGCTGCAGCCATGAGAATCTTCCCAGGGCAGGGCTTGCAGATGTGATAGAAACAAGCAGAGGCACCCAGACATAAATATTCACACCTCTGTTTGAGGTCCAGGCTTGTAGATGACTGGGAGAAGTGTTGAGCTTGAAATCAGCTGCTGGGACGTGCTGAGCCCACAAAGCCACTTTGTGGGACAAGGTTCCTCCTAAGGCTGCTTACATCTCACTTGGGTGTCACAGAGAGCATCAGTGAGGGGCTTGGAATGGAACATGGAGGTGGCTTGGCAATTGTCCATCTCTTCCCCACCCCGTTCGCATCACACTGGCTGGGATGGCTCTTACAACAATGCTGTATTAGTTAGCTTTGTGTCACTGTTACAAAATACTCAGTGCAGGCTACTTATGATGACCCATGATATGGGATGTTCAGTTCATGGTTAGGTGGTCCTGTTTGGGGCCTCCAGAGAGGGTGGCACATAGTGGCAGGAGTGTCTCAGTGAGTATTCACATCTGGATCCAAGAAGTAGAGAGAGAAGGGGATCCATGTCCCCCAGGCCTGGGGCCGGGGGCATTTCTCAGTGGCCCAAACATCTCCCACAATGCCTGCCTTCACTCCCATCCAGAGTCCTGCATTTTTAATATTCTTTCCTAGGTGACACTGCTGCTGGTCCAAGGCCACCCTCTGAGTAGCACACAGGGATCACACAAGAGTCTAATAGGTCTCTGGAGTCGGAGACTGGGATTACCTGAGAACAGCATGACAGCCCAAAGGATCCAATGCTTCTTGTTCTTTTCCAATAATAAAGTGAAAAGCATGAAGGAGACTGGACTCAGCTAGCAGCAGACAGCCGTGTGTGACACAGACAATGACCAGCACAGAGTTAGGAACATGAGTTCATTTCTTGGCTTTGATCCCAATTTCCCAAGGGGGCCTGAGCAGGGCTTATCTCTAAGTCCCTATTTCTGTACTTCTTAAGTGGCGAGCCACCTGATAACCCTGCGCCTGGATGGCCCAGCTCCCCCAATGACTTGCTCTGAGTTAATAGGATGATGTTTCCAGTGATATGTGAGGTTTGACATTGCCATCCAGGCAAAGTGGGAGAGGACTGCAGTGTTTGTTAGGCTGGGGGTTGAGAGATATGAATGGACTCCACTTTGGGAGCTAACTAGAGTGAGCATTCAATTTATTCTCAGACTCGGAAATAGTTGAAATCCCCAAATTTCAAAAGTAGAATGACTACGACTCAAAATTCATAAGCTTTTTAAAAGGGCGAGGAACTAAATGATCACATAAATCCCTTTCAGGGCTGCCGTTCTGCGAATCCGTGCTGGCAGGCGTCCCAGTCCACGAGCCAATCCACCAGGCATAAAAGGCAGCGATGAAAGCGCTCGCTGGCCCTGCTCAGGGCAGGTCAGCCCCCCAGGCCCAGCGCAGCACTAATAGCCCCGGTTCCAGATGAGATCCCAGCTTACGCAGGCCCGCTCCTCCTGGCCAGCGGTGCATATTACAATCAGCTGGGGACTGTGAAAACATGCCCAGTTCCCACCCTCCAGGGATGCAAATTCATTTGGTCTGAAGTGAGCTCAAGAAAGCGCAACTAGATTTGAGAAACTGCTGCGTGTGCCAAAGCAGAGACTGCATTTTGGTTCACAAGGGGCAATGAGCAAGGAAATGCACAGGGTCCCTGTAAACCCACAGCCGCTGCCACAAAAGAGGTCAGCATTAGCTTTGGGGAGCTCAGGAATCTAGACGCAGGGTGTCGGGGGCGTGTAAGCGCTGCACGTACCACGTGCACACAGTTACAGTGTAGAGTTTGGGGGGAGGACAGAACAGAATTAAAGTGCCAGCTTGGCCACTCAGCAGCTGAATGGTGGTGATTCAGTTATCTAATCTCGACACCTTTTCCTCCCCTGTGAGATGGGCAGGGTCACATTCCCTCTGTCAGGTAAGGCTACCTGAGCTGACGCCTGTGGGGTGTGCAGCTGGGAATTTGCCAGGCACATGGTGAGCCCCAGCCTCGTGTAGCCCTTACACACCACCCTTGTCGCTGCGCTAGGTTATTGTGAACATCCTCGGAGAAAATGATGAAAAGCCACTGTGCACCCCCAACTCTTACTTCCTGGCCGTCCCGGTGGATCTGAAAGTTGGCACAAATATTCAGAATTTCAAGCTCACATGCACTGACCTTGACTCCAGCCCCAGATCCTTCCGTTACACCATTGGCCCAGGTACGGCACTTGGGGCCAACAGCCCCGGTCTCTGGGGACTCCGGAAGGATGGCAGGGTCTGTACTCACATGTGGACCCAGGCGCGGTGTGGGCCTGAGGGAGGAGGGGTGAAGAGTCTAAAGGCCTGCGAGCTTCCTGCTGGTTCTGTGGCTTCCCTATTCCCCTAGAGCCCTTGCCAGGCTGCCCAAAGGTCCTAGGAGGGGTGAACTCTTGATGGTGGAGCCTTCTAAATCCCTGACTGCAGTGACTCATAAGTGGCATTAGTGTAATTTAAAAAAATAATTTAGTCCAACTCCTCAGCTATCTCTTTTCCTGAAAGCATATCGTGGGGGCAGGGGAGCCCAGGCCTCTCACTGGGATAATAATAGATTAAACAGATAAAGTGCATTTTGAAATGTGTCCTCCACAATCCTCTTCTGCTCCATTCATTTTCTGTCTTTAAAACACATACCGCTAGGTGAGGAAGAAGAAAAAAAAGAACAGACTTCAATGAAAATCAGACCAAAATAGCTCATCTAATGAAGTGCCAGGGCCAGAGATTCAAACCCAAACAAGCAGAGCAGTTCCATGCAAAAGAGTAAAAAATCCATCGTGGCCACCCGCTGAGCCCTGACAGAGCAGGAACACAGCAGTGGGGAGCCTCTGAGCCAGCAGTGTCACAAAGCCCAGGGGCAGACGCTGCCTGGAGACGCACTTGCCAGCGATGGAAATAGCCCACACCGAGAAGCCTTGGGCCTTTATGGAGCGCTTCACTGCTAAGGGAGGGAGAACTGCATCATTTCCTGCTTCATTTGCTGGTTTTCAGTTGGTAACGGGTCTGGAGCCACTGCAGGAATGAGCAGGAGCCAGGCGTGGCTGCAGCATTCCAGCTCCAGGCTGAGAGTTGGGTGCCCCCAGAGAGCTCGTGTAACTTTGGAGGAGAGGTGGGGCGAGGACAGAAGGCGGGGGTGCAATCCTTGCACAGCCAGGAGGCAGCTCCTTGGAGGAGTCCAAGGAGGACTCCAAGGACACCTGTGGCCAGTGAGACCGGCCAGCCAGCTCCACAAAGCACTCCAGGAGTCCTCAGCTCTTTTGCTGCCCACTCACTGGTCTGAGTGTGCATTATATCCAAGGTGTGACCAAGCATAACATGGAGTTCCCTTTTTTTTTTTTTTTTTTTTTACAATTTAGTACAGCAAAAGTCACAGGGCTATTCACCCTTCAGAACATCCCTCCTACTCGGAACACACTCACCCATGTTCCTGCCACATTCTGAAGCAGTTCTGGAAGTCCTCCTCCAGGAGTATCTTTAGTTGCACTATCGTGGCTGCCCCAATGTCCTGAATGGATGTAAAATGTTCACTTCTTATGGTCAGTTTTCACTTTGAGGAACAGCCATAAGAGACTTGGTGCCAGATCCAGTAAATAAGGTGAATAAAAGCATACCAGTATGTTTTTATTTGACAGAAATTGCTAGAAGCATTTTGAGTTGATTTAGGACCTTGAGGCAGCCCTAAAAAGACTTACAAAAGAGGACTTCCAGAACTGCTTCAGAAAGTGGCAAGAAGGATGGGATAAGTATGTTCAAAGTGAAGGAGATTATTGTGAGGGCCCCAATGGCAAGGTGTCTTTTACTTTAATACATTTTTGAACATTCATCTGTATTATGTAATCTTTCCGTGAACATTGTTGCCAAATGCTATAAATGACAGGTGACAAGCTAGCAGAGGTCACCCCAGAATTCTCAACTTTCTCTACCTGATGACACCTAGGACAATGTGTTGCAGTCCCTTTCTACTCCTCTCTTCTGCAGCCACACAGGTTATAAGCAAGAGTTTCTTTGTACAAAGGAAGACACTGCAACTGCAGGGACCTTTGGTGCATCGCTGGCCAGACCTGGTCCATCCAAAACACGGTCAATACCCGCGAGCATTTGGGGAATAGAGAAAATGCAGCTTTCTTCTACACCTTTGTTCTGTACCTTCTTGTCTTCCTCCTACCGACAGCCTTGTATCAAATCTCATTCAGGGAACATCAACAGCCACTTCGCCTTCTCTCCCAGTGCCGGCTCTAATGTTACGCACCTGCTGCTCACATCCCGCTTTGACTATGCCAGTGGCCTGGACAAGATCTGGGACTACAGACTGCTCATCTTCATAACTGATGATAACTTGCTGTCAAGCAGGACGAAAGCTGTGGCACTTGTGCAGACGGGAACCGTGACACTGAGTGTTAAGGTCATTCCCTACCCAACTACCATCCTCACAACAACTCCCATGGTAAGGGCTTGGGGACCAGGCATCCCCAGACATAAGCCCCTTAAATGTATACTACTGGAGCCCCTTAACCCCAGAGAAGTCGGGGGGGGTAGACTGAAAAGAGCTGGAGAATTTGGCCAGATTAGAATGGCCACTAAGGGTGGATAAAGCTCTGAGTGAGACCCTGAATTTATAGAACTACTGACTGCCTATTCTGTGTGTGTTTTTTTTAAAGAGCACATGTGCACAGGTGCAGGTACCTGTGATAGACTGGACATTGTGACACAGGAGCCGATTTCCATAGGCATCAGCCAGTTGCTCCCCTTATAGCCCCCTCTCTGCTCATCCACAAGAGCTCTGCAAACCAGTGATGTGGAGCAGGTTCCTGGCTGCCCTGTGCTTTTGACTTCTTTACAAGAGGAGATCAGTACCCTGTGCCCCACATTCACTCCAGATCAATCCATCCAATCTAGCAGTACTGCCCCAATGCCTCCCTGGACCCACCATCTTAGTGAATGGGCCCAAGATGATCTCTGCTCTCATGGACTAGCAGCATAGGTCAGAGCTTTTCCAAGTGTGGTCCCCAGAACAGCAGCGTCAGCCTTGCCCAGACATGCATTAGAAACATGGGGTCAGGTGACCGGGTGATAGCTCAGTGGCATAGATGCTGCCTGGCAAGTGCCAGGTCCTGAGTTCATTTCTCAGTACAAAAAATGAAATGCAGATTTTCAGACCCACTGTAGATTATGGAAGTCACAATTCATACAGCTGTGGTCATCACCTTGATCTCCAGGGAACTAAGTTGGAACCTGGAGTCCCCAGTGCTCCTCCTTACTTATAGGATCTGAAACCCTGCGGGTGGAGCACGCACAAACTGCCAATTACAGGTTGTGGTCAGTGTAGAAGGAAACAGAGGGATGCCTTGTCAGAATCAGCGTGGCGAGGGATGTGGGCTTGGAGTCTACAAGATTGTCACCCTGTGCCTTGGGGGTGCTCACCCCTCTCCTGGGGCTCCCTTTCCTCCTCTTAGTTGAAGCTCACCCCTGTCAGCCACTCTGTATTGCAGCAAATGAGGGGAAATGACAAGTGAGGGTGGGCAGCTTCTTTTTCATTTATTTATTTAATTTAATTTTTTTTTTTAGGGAAGGGTCTACAGGGTGTTCAGGGTCTCACTACTAGATCAAACTCATGATCCACCTGTTTACAGTCTCCCAAGAGCTGTGATTACAGGCATACACCACCACGCCCAGTCTCAATTACCATCTCAGTGTGACCCAGGGGTGGGGCTGGCACGGTAGACCCAGGGATCTAATCCCTGGCCCCTGTGCCTGCTTGAAGGCACTTTAATCCACTGAGCTATTTGGCTGGCCCTTAAAATTTTATTTATTTATTTAGTGCAGTGTCTCACTACACAACTTGGATTTGTAGTGATCCTCCTCTCTCAGCCTCCCCAGTGCTGGGATTATAGGTATATGCTACCATACCTGGTTTTGGTGACCTGCTCGACACCTGGGGTTCCAGGGCCATCATGGCATGTGGGACGGGGGATCGAACTCAGGACCTCACACTTGCCAGGCAGCTGCTTAGATGGCTGAGCTATCTTGCCAGCCCCTGGGTGGCCAGCTTCTGCTACTGAGTCTTCTTAATGCTTCTGTCTCCTGTATGGAATCAACATGACCCCCATCAGTGCAGCCACACGGCACCCTTAAGGCTTCCAGTGGTAGGAGCCAGTAGCTCCCCTGAGCAGGCACTGGGCTCACACCTTTCTTGGGCTTGCAGCATGACCCAACTGTGACACCTCCAATCCTGAGATCTCCGAAGCCTGCTTCTGATCTGTCTCCCACTCCAGGAAGCAGATGCTGCACTTGGGGTTCAGCTGTGACAGCAACCCACTCATGTGGCAGTGACAGCTGGACCCAGCGAACACAAAAGTCCTACAAGGTGTTAACAAAACCCAGCTGTCATGGCTCAGGCCATCACAGGGAGAGACACTGATGGCTCTTTGAGTCCCTGGGTTGCGCTGTGTGGTGGCTGAAAACAGTGGAGGGATGCTTTAGCTTTGGGGAAGGGGAAGAGAGAGGATGGAGTTGCTTTTCCATTCCCTAGCTTTTCTAAGCTTTAGTCTAGTGGGCTTTTGCAAAGTTGACATAAAGTAAGGAGATGGGTAGCACCAATCAGAACTAGAAGTACACAGAGGTTCAGCTTACAGTGCAGGACAAACAGTGGCGCACACACTGGACACCAGGCAGCACTGACCTCAGAGACACCACCTCCTCACTCCCTCTGCTCTCCATCCCTCCAGCCCAGGATCACCTATCAGCTCTTCAGGGAGAACGCATACTCCCCATCGGCATGGTACGTGCCTTTTGTCGTCACTCTGGGCTCCATGCTGCTCCTGGGCTTCCTGGTGTCGCTGATCATCCTGCTGGGCAAAGCCATCTCCAGACACTGCCCCTGCAACACCGGGAAGAGCAAGAAAGCTCTGTGAGTTGGGGCGGGCTGGGCCCTTTCCTCAGGGTTTCTCTCCCAGGCAGGGAACCAGGCATGAAGGAGAGAAGAGGGGATGGGAGCTGGAGGAATCCCAGCTGCCCTTGAGCCTGGGATACCCTTTGTAAAGGCCACCAGTAGGGACAGAAAATCATTTCTTTGGGTTCTCTAGCAACGTACCCTGTCCCTGATGGTGTCTTAGACCTTCCACTGCATAAAAGCTTCAGAAAACCCCATCGTGTGGAGCGACAGAGGAGGCTGTTCTCTGATTTGTAAAATATTTAAGGAAGGGATAGAATTAAAGAAAGCACAGAAAAACCTGATGGGGGAAGTAAGCTTTTGGCTCTGGGAACTCACTTGGGCTTTGGGGTGACTAGACCATCATTGTTCTTTGGCACGTGGCCCCAGTCTTTGGACCTTAGTGGCTGTAGACATGGCCGGGTCTTCTCTGGTCTTTGCTGATGCCTCTGCCTCTGCTGGGGACAAATGTGGACTGGAGTGGAGTGGACAGAGCATTGGCTTATTACAGACCTCCCAGAGCCAGTTTTCTTGACCCTCAGTAGCTCTTAGAGCATAGTGTGATGGTTCTGAACTTTGACCTGGAGTTAGGCAATGCCTAAGTTCAAATCCTGGCTCTCCCATCTTGTGTGCACATGGCTTTGGGCAAGTGACAGCCTCTATGACCTTTAAGTTCCTTGTTTGTATACTAACCGATTAAACAAATGTACTGCTCCTGTCGTAGAACAAGTGCTTAAGACATCATAGCTACTATTTTTAATTTTGTTGTACTCTTCTTCACAGCTAAAACCTAGCGCATTTAGGATTCTAGATTCAAGTTTCCCTTGTGCCCCAGTATCTTAGGGTATTAGGTGGTCTGGGCTTTAGAATTTCTTAATGGCAAAGAGGAGTGACAAGAAGCAGGTGCCTTTGAAAGGTGTTTTAAAGATAAACCATTAACTATCAAATCATTTGAAATATATGCATGACAATGGTATAAAATTATAAGGCATTAGCATAAAGATGTGCATTGCATTTTGTCATATTTATTGGGGAAGTTTGTTGCTATTGGCAACCTTGACTTGAAGGTAAGAAATCCTTGAGCATCTGCTGGAATTAAAAAAGCCATATTTGTTTGGCCTCCACTTACAAATTGACTTAAAAAAAAAGACTGATTCTAAAGAATGGCATTTAAGCTGGTAACGAGGGTGGTGCCCTATAATGGGATTTGGGTAGAAGTTTTTTGTTTTTTTTTTTCAGAACCGGGGATTGAACTCAGGCCCTTGCGCTTGCTAAGGAAGCGCTTATTCCACTGAGCCATCTCCTCGGCCTCTGGGTAGAAGTTCTTGAATGAAATCTGCAATTCACATGCAATTGTAACTAAACGTTAAATGTGCACCTTCAACCCAGTTGTTTTAACTTTTGCTCTAAATACTGTTTTCAGCATGGTTAATTTAAAAAGAAAAATATGCTAGAAATTCAGACTCAGACCTGGCCTCCCTGAACATTACTTGTATCATGTGACAGTGAACATTTGTCAGATAGCAAAGAATAAAATTAGAGTCACAGAATTATAGAATCCAAGTTCATTGTAGGAAGGGTTTTAGAGACCAAGTCCAGCCCTCTGTGTTTCGGGAAATCAGAGCTAATTGCCGGCCCTGCAGCCTCCCTGCTGTGAGGCAAGCCCTCTGCTAGGCTGGCAGTGGAGAGGAGAACAGGGCCGCAAGGCACACCTGGCCTCTTGCTGCGCTGCTCCTGCCCTGCCAGGCATCCTCACGAGAGACACCAGAGTCCCTGGAGCTCAAGACAGTAGTTGGCAAACTCAGCAGACTCCACAAGCTCCCCACCTAGTCCAAGGACATCAGGGCTAGAGCTGCAGCGTACCAGCCAAGCTTTCTTCTTGGCCCTCATCCTTGGGGATCAACCCAGACCCTGAAGCCTCAGGAACACCAGCCCCAGGGCCCCGCGTGATCAGCTGTGTGCTGGTGTGTAATGCTTTCAAGCTAATTAATACACGTGCTTTCTCCCTCCATAGGGCGAAGACAGGAATCACCGGTATGTACAGAGCCGATTTCCTTCTTTCACTTGTGTGTTTTGTTTGCTCTGTTGTCCTGTGTGTAAAAGGCATCAGCCTCGTCAGGGTGACTGTGTCTGATGGGTTTCCAGCCACACCACTGAGGGTGGAATGGGTGGGGCCCAAGGGTGCTCCTCGGATTGCGTGTGGTCCTCCCTGCTCCCTACCCAGGGTCCTGGGGGCCTGCCCATTAGCTCAGTTGCTTAAGTGCCTGCTAAAGCAAAGCAGTCAGGCTCAGGCTAATGTTGTTCAATTCCCAAATCCTTATGCTTTACCAGACCTGCCCTTCAGGCATCCTGAGCCAGAAAAAAAAAAAAAAAAATCCTTCCTACCCAGGGTCCTGACCCTTCAGCCCAACTGCAGCACCTAGGTCCATTCTCCTCTGACAGGGTGGGCAAGAATTCTGCATGCATTAAACACAAGCTGCATCTATTCGCTGCTGTGGGTTCCTCCCAAGGACAGCTAATGCTGGTAGCCACCCCTGCCTCTTTCAAAAGAGCAAGTGATACTTTTTTTTTTTAAGTGATACTTTAGAGATTTAGAAGAAACAAGGGTTGTAATGGATTTGATCTTCTTTATGAACTGTTGAGGTCCAACTAGTAGAGTACAGGGAATGGATTTTCTTTTTAATCATTTTTTAAAATAAAGAAATACATTAATTTCACCTTTCTTTCTGATTTCTAAAGCCAATCAAAGGCTAGGTGTGGGGGTGCATAATTATAATTCTATCACTCAGGAGGCTTAGGCAGGAGGATCACTGTGAGTTTGAGGGCAGCCTGGGCTACAAATGAGTTGAAGGCCAGCCTGAACTACATAGCAAAACCTTGATTTGAAAGAGAGTCTCAAAAAAAAAAAAAAAAAGAAAAGAAAAAGCCTAACAACGCTAGTTTTCGAAGTCTAGTAATAACAATAAACTGAAAGAGTAAAACAAAATTGAAACGATTTGCATATTGCATGTATGTGTGTATATGAGTGTGTACCTGTATGCTTTTTCCAGGAAGATGGAAAACTGTCCACATGTCTGCAGACAGAAAAATTCTTTGCCATGTCTGTAAGACTTGAGTTCAAAGCTTGTGAGGGTAGAATTTTAAGGTCAATTTAGCACCCACTAAATTGTGTTTAACATGTTTCTGCCAGCTTGACCCACTAGTGATACATACATGATTGTCCCATGGTGGCTTGTACCACCCAAGGGGACTGTGCCATGCTGGTTGGTGGCATAGACACGTGTGCCCCACTGGTGGTTCAGAGCCACTGGCAGCAAGACACGAGTGACAGCCCCACTGTGACACATTCACTGCTGTTTGTGCTCTTCCTGTAGACATGAAGCAGGTGAAGACAGCAGTCGTGGTGGTGAGTGTGGCCCAGCCTGGGCATGGGTACTGGTGGTGGCAAGGTGTCCCCACAGGCAGGCCTGGCAGGGCAGTTTGGGTGCATGCGCTGCTCCTGGAACAGCTTGCCAGAGACGCACTCCTGGCAGACATCCTTCCCTCTGAGCACGGCTTCAGGGTACTTGCTGAAGGGTTGGGCTCCGTAAATACGAGCCATGGTGGTGTTTCTCACCTGCTCGGCTCCTCAGCACAGCGCACAGGGTAGCAAGGAGTAGGGACCACAGCTGGGGCTCCCACTTTCCACAGGATTCAGGTTCTTTGTGTTTTTCTCAACCCTGTGGGAAAATGCTAGAGAAAGCTCTGCTTGGGCTGGGGCCTGGCTGTCCACTCAACCATAGGGCTGGGGGCCTCTTGGTCTTGCTGAGGTTCAGATTCCTTACCTGTGGACTGGGAGCAGGCTCACCTGCCCTGAGGCAACAGGTGGGAACTGTTTTGAACAGGGGCAGGTGTGGCGCATAAATGCAGGGTTTAGCTCTCCACTCAGCCTGTTTGCTTTACTGAAATGGAAGTCTCCACTGCGAAATGACAGGACTTGAAGGTGATGCCACCCAGCACATTCCTCAAAGTAACACTTTGTAGTGGCCCAAGACACATGAATGTGGTGACTGTGTGCATCAAAGAAGGCCAGGCTGCACATAGGACAAGGAGGCCATCTTTGGTCTCCGAGGTCCTACTGTCATCCCCTGGGGGATGCCCCAAGCGAAGCCCTAGATCTGTGCCATATCAGCCTAGTAGGTAAGTAAATCCCATGGCCATGAAGAGTGTGGCGGCTGAGATCACCCAGTGGATGAAACCCCTGCAATTCCTGCTTCCTTTTTTCTGTGGAAGAATAGGTGATTTTATTTGTGATTCAGCTGGGGTTGAAAGGCCCTCTAAGCTCCAAACACCACTCTCTTCAGTGTGCTAACAACCCTGATCTCCCACCTTTAAAGGGCATCACATGAGGGAACGGGGTGGCCATGGGGTCAGGGCCAGGTATGTTAGGCAGTGGTCAGGTCCTGGAGGGAGGGCACCAAGTCCCACTCATGGGGCACAGGCATGGGCAAGCCTAGATATGACCTGCTTTACACCAACAAGAGAGAGGGCAGAAGAGGAAGCCCAGGGCTAGGGCAGGTGGGCACTTGAGGGCTCATTTGTGCCTGCTTCACACCTGTCTGAAAATGACCTAGCCAGCAGATGCATCCTTAGCCACAGTGCGTGGTCTTTCTACTTTTCCTTCTCCATGACTCAGAGCCTCAACCGCAAGTCTGCATTCTGTGTGCCCCATCCTCCCTCCTGCTCCCCCCAGCATCTGACATCTCCTCCGCCACAACCTTGGGACTGCACTGTCAACCGTTTGTTAGTGGCAAGCTGTGCACAAGCAGTAATTGTTCCAGCCTCATTTACCATGGGTCCCCAGAATGCAATGCGATGCTCATTAAATGAATGAATAAATGTGGAGAAGCTCTGAGTGGGAACGGGACTGCGAGGATGTGTGGCCCTGCCTGGGAGAGCTTCTAGGGTTGGGCCTGAGGCTCTCTCTTTTTTTCCTTAGGAAACTGTCCAGATGAACACTGTCTTTGATGGAGAAGCTGTGGACCCAGGTAATCCAGCAGCAGGTGCCTGTTGTGCCCTTTTGATTTCCTGCTCTTAACGCAGCATGTCTGGCCCTTATTGCCCATGGTACAGTGCTGACCCTCACAAGCCACCTGGGAGGGGCTCTAGGCACCGAAGGCTGTGGACACGGGTCTAGGCGAGGCCTCAACCCGTTCCACTTGAAGGCTTGTGCTGGAGGCCACACCTCCTTCTTGCCTCCCTGCCCAACTCACCAACTGATTTAGGGAATTCCTGAATTCAAGATCCCACATATATTTTTTCCTGCTCCTTGGAACTCCCTGCCTTACTCCATCCTCCTGAATGCTTCTAGTACCATCCTCTTGGTAGTGGAAGAAATGGCAAGTTTGGCTTCCTTTTTTCCTAGATGAGCGCCAAGAATCCCTTCTTGGTTGGCAAGGCGCAGCTAAGTAAAGCTGGCGTCCAGAGCGCTCATCACCCCCACGAGATCAGTTCCAAATTTAGCTCCTTTACACACATCCCTCCACTTACAAAGACTCAATTATAGACGTGAATAAAGGGGAAGGAAACCAAATTCAGGAGGCAAGTGCGCTGGCTCCCTGCCACGCGCCCAGGCGCACGCCCTAGTCCTCCTCGAAAGGAGGATAGCGCCTCTCCAGTGAGAAGCTGCCGCTGCTGAAATGCAATTTCCCTCTATTATTAGGCACTTGCTTCCATAATGCACCCACACTAGCAGGCGCGCTGGGGAGAGCCTGCGCGAGAGGTGGTGTGGTGAGCCGAGCGGGGCCTGCCCTGCACGCCTCGGGCTGCGCGAAAGCTGGGAGGACCTTGGTGGCTTTTGTTTATTTGAGAAACTTAAACAACATCAAAAAAAGGAAAGACAAAAGGAAGGAATAAAAAGAAAAGGGGAGAGAGGAGCCAACTGGCTTCATGTGAGCAAACACGTCAATTAGTGTGTTGGCTGCAGCGCAATAGAAGCAGCTTGCTTACGTCATATGCATGGGGCCGGATTCCTGTCTGTGTCTACAAATCTCTGCTCCCCTAACAAAAATAAAAAGCAGAGCCTTTTCCTCCTTGCTCAGTGAATTCCTTTTTATAGGAGGGATTCAGGGGTCTTTAAAAAAGAACAAAATAGGCAAAATGTCCTGGCTAAACCTGTTAGAAGTTGGTCTTAGTTTCTCTGACATCCACAGGGAGCACAAGGGTGACACACATCCTCGTCTGGCAAGGGAGGCGGCATCGAGACTGTCCCAAGCCTTCCCATCCGCAGAGGTGTGGCATGTGCCTGGGGGAAGGACAGGCTGGAGACAAGCATGTGCCACTCTGAGCTCGCTTCCTGGCCAGGATCTGCACGCTCTGGCACGCGTCCTTACTTGGCAGTTGGAGCAGAGCCGGCGAGAGGTGGAGTGAGACAGAATTATTTGAATTCCTTGGTTTATATGATGGCTGTCTTCTTCTATCCTAGTGACTGGGGAAATATATGAATTCAACACAAAGACTGGAGCCAGAAAGTGGAAAGATCCCCCAGCTCAGAGGCCAGCAAGGAAGGAGCCCAGCGCCCCGGGAACTGCAGCTACCACCTCACGCAGAGTCATGGCTGGTGAAGGGCCAGGGCTGCCCGGCAGCATCAGGCAGGAAGGAGGCCAGCCAAGGAGCAAAGAGCATGCCTAGGGTGCCGGTCTGGGTGTCAGAAGCCAGGATGGCAAACCGTGCACGCTGAAGCACAGAAACTGAGCCCTCACACACAGGGCACCCTCTAGGCTGCACTCGGCCAAGTGTAGTACCAGGCCAGCTCCCACGGCAGGGGTCCCCACGTCTTCCAAAATCCACATGTGCAAAGATGGGGGCTGAAGGCATTCAGCATCCAGGGGGAATGCAATGCTTCAGTAAATTAAAAACAAACAACAACAACAGAAAGGGGCTGGATCGATCACATAGTTGCTTCTTTGTGCGATGGCCAGGAGAAACATGCCTTGAGGCTCAGAACTCCTGGGCTTCTGATCCATAGGGACTGCTGGGTTCTGGGCGCAGAATTGCCCTGTTCTGTCCTTGCATCGGCCTCCAGAGAGCTCTCTTCAGTTTAACACAGGACTTTCTGACCCTTGCACCTGATTGCATCTAGGATCCTTACCTGAGCATCCCCAGCTTCACCCATAAATACCTCTGTGAGTCACCTCAGGTCTTCTCAAAAGTAGAGCATGAAAAAATGAGCCAGCGAGCTGCTCTTCAGAGGATCAGAAGGCACAACAAACTCCTCCTTTTATCCCTTTCTTACTGAGGTATGACTTATGCTGACGAAAATGCACAGAGCTGAGGTACTTAGCCGGACCCTATGTAGACATCCCATGTGGTAAGCACCATTCTGAGCTTCATGATCACAAAGTGGTTTTGTACTCTTGAGTTTCACATAAATGGATCTGTGCGGTGTGCACTTCTGTGACTGGCTGCCTTCTGTGTCTCTTAGCTGGGCCCCTGTGGCACTGTGTAGCACTGGCCTAGTTTTCTACACTGCTGCGTCTGGTGCCCCTGGCAGACTAGGCTGCAATTTACTTATCCATTCACTTCAGTTTCATTTCAAACTTTTTTACTGTTAAGAGTTACAGCACTACAAACATTTTTGTACTTGTATTTTGGTGAACATAAACATTCATTGCTTCTGAGCATATATATCCAGGAGGGGGGTTGCTGGGGCAACTGTTGTAGACCTCCAAGGAACCCCAAGGTTGTGGCTCCAGGATTCATGCCAGCAGCAATGACTCAGAGTTCCATGTCTTCTGTTTTTTGTCAACACTTTAGATTCTCCATCCTCTAATTTTAGCCATCCTGGTGGTTTTTTTTTTTAAAGGCTCCTAAAGTGAGATCTATTATTCTCAAAGCGGAAACGACACCGTCTTTATAACCAGCTGCTCCTGTCCTTCTCAATCTGCCCCTGGAGGGTCCCCCAGGACTCTGTGTGGAGACAAACTCTGTGTGGAAGGTGATATCTGATCATACACCTCAGACTTCCCCCTGCTGCCCAAGCTGGGGAACCGAGAGCCACAGTGTCCTAACGGATAGGAAATGACAGTTTGCAGTGTGTCTCAGGAGACAGCAAGGGCCCTGTGCCTCCCAGGCCTGCTCCCTGCCCACTGGGGCACTGTCCAAAACCACTAGAAGGGATGAGGTGACGATCCCTGGAGCAGCACCCCCTTCCCTCGGGGCGAGTGAGGACCTCCAGGCCCACGGTGCCTGGGGATAGCAGGCAGGACGTGGCCTGCAGCAGGGACAGGGCTCTTGCTTGTCCATCGCCTGCCCGAGCCAGCACAACTTCCCAGGGGAGAACAAGATTTGTGAAACCTGGCCCTGCCTCAGGTGGGCCTGATCTTTTCTGTTCATTTATTCTGATTTGTTTGAGACAGGCTCCTGCTGTGTAGTTCAGGCTGCCTTAAACTCATCTTGTAGCCCCGGCTGGCCTCAAATTCAGGGTGATCTTCTTGTCTCAGCCTCTCAAGTGCTACGATTACAAGCGTGCACCACCAGTGCCTGGAAGAAGCTTTTTTTTTTTTTTCCTTTTTAGTGCTGGGCCCTGAACTCATGACAGCGCTCTATCACTGTGTTACACCCATGTCCCCTCAATAGAAATCCTGCAAATGGGGCTGAAAGTCTGCAGACACAGACCGAGCCATGCATTTGTGCCAGTTAGAGCAGGTGTGGGGGCTGAGAGCTGACTGAAGGCTCCGCAAGTCTGTGGGGCCCCAACACTCCATGCTTTGGTGCTTGCTTTGAGGCAAGTAGCAGGAGGCTGAGAAGGAGGAGGGGTCTGAGTCACTGGCTCTACACCCACTAGGCAGGGTTGGAAGGGGTGGCTGCCCTTCCTTCCCAGAGAGGTAGGCTGAGAGGGAGCTGTGCTCGATGGGCTGAAGTTGGCTCGGGAAGAACCTCCCGGACGCTGGGCTCACACACAGAGCTTGGTGTCCTCTTTGGCGATGGTGGGTGCAGCTGCTTGCCCTCCTGCCCCACGTGGGCCCAATGGAACCGAAGACCTATGAATGGGAGTGGTGGCTGGAGGCTCCAGGGGAGACCTTTGCCCAGCCCTTTCCCTTTTGCATAGCTGCCTGTGTGATGGGGAGAAATCCAGGAATGTGAGGGCCAGATCGAGACCACTTGGTTGCTAAATGTACCAGGATGGAAAAAGAGAAAAGAGTTATCTGAATGAAATGAAATGAATTCAGCAGCCGTGTGACCTTGGGTTTCTCCTGCAAGGCCCCAAGCATGGATGGCTGGGTGGTAGCCAGTGTTCACCTTTTCCACTCTAATTCATGATCAGATTGGGGCACGTGCATGCAGGGGCCACGCTGCGCTGCTGAGGGTGGGAATGGGTCAGGGCTGAGGCCGGAGTTTCCCGTACTCCATAGAAAGCACAGCCTGCATCTCTGGGGCTGTGTGCAAGGAAAACGCATGCAGTTCCTGGATGGAAAATGCGATGCTGCTTTTGCCCCGGGGACCCCTCTTCCGCCTGGGTGGCTCCATTGTTTGCCTTTTTATTTAGCGCTATTTGTGATGGTTGAGAAAATTAAGCAACAAAATGAGTAAACACAGAATGATCGCCACTTCGGCAGGTGTGTCTCATTTCCAACACAGCACACGTGGCCAGGCCTCTCGTTCATTCGGGTGCTGGTGACTGCAGGGCCAGGGTCAGGGACCATGGCAGCTGCAGCCCAGCGCATGGCCACATGGGCCTGGCAGGGAGCTCCCTGGAGAAGTCTGCTTCTATGTCCATGGCTTTCTCAGTTCCTCAGGTTTCTGTCCGAGAGATAAACTAACCCAAGCATGGAGTCTCACAGCCATTTTTGAAAGTACTTAGAAAGTTAACAGGGAGCCTTTATGGGGAGGTAGTTGAGATGCCCGGGTTGACAACAGCCTGTGGTGAAGAGGCCACCTTCCTGTGACCTCAGCTCCAGATGACAGCCCGAGCCAGGTGACTCCTGTGTGGAAGGTGGAAGGGTCGGAGTCAGGCAGACATTTAGTCTGGATCTCAAGGAAAAGCTCAACTGTGGGCTGGGGCGGACTCAGATCACTGAGACCTAAGATGCGGCTCCCGCCTAGTGAGTGAGGAGACGTGGGTTTATTAAGGAGACAACCAAGGGACAGGCACAGTTCGTACACCTACAATCCCCAGCTACTCAGGAGGCCGAGGCAAGAGCATGAGTTCAAGGCTGGCCTGAAGAATTTAGCAAGACTAGCTTGAAAAAAAGAAAAAAAGAAAAGGAAAGCAAGCCAGCCACCACGCAGGCACTTTTCAAGAACTACGAGAGTGCTGGAGGCAGAAAACAATGGCCAGCCCAGGCTCTGAAAGTATAATTAGGGCCTGGAGCCTGAGTGGCTTTTGATGGCAGAGACAAAATTGAAGTGCGAGAGTTGCTCTGAGCAAAGGCTGCGCATGGGTTTCAGTCCATTTCTAGCCAATTCTTGTCCAGAGGACTGTGGAGCTGCCGCGTGGGTAGGTAGCATGCACTCACGTTCGTTTGCAGAATGGGATTGAATGGAGCAGGCCATAGTTGATTTTTCTTACCCAGGTATAGTAGTCACAAGTTTTCTATCTAGCTCTTCATAAACACTATTATAACCAACAAGGAACAGTTACATGGGGCTTACTAGGTATCCAGCACTCTTCCAGGCTCTGGGAATCCAGCAGTAACAGGTGCTGGCTGGGCCACACGGATAAACAGAGCTCCAACCCCAAGCTACAGCAACCTGCCCCATTAGAAATTGATAGTTTCCGTACTTTCTGTTGGCTTCCTACTTGGGACCAACCAGAGAAAACCAGATGCACCAATCATAGAGGGTGCCCCACCCCCAGTTCCCCCAGCCTGGCCTCTCCGGGCTGGAAGCCCTTGCCAGGCACATTCAGTTCCTCCTCCTTTCCCCTCTGGAGGTCTAGCCCTCTCCTCTGCTTGCCTGTGGGTCTCTAGCCAAGCCCAGTCAGGTTGGTTAACTCCTTCGCCATGGTAAGCTTGAGACAGCTTATGCTTTTGTCTAGTGGTTGGTCTTTGTTTATTTCTACTGAGCTCCCTGACAAATAGCTTTGATGTATAAACATGATATAAGAAATGTTGATGATGGTTATCGGGAAAACAAGCAGGGTCAAGGGCTACAAATATGGGATGGCTGTGTTTAGTATGTAGGTGAGAAGACCTACTGGTGAGGGGAGATTCAAACAGTAGAAGAGAGAGAGAGCCCTGTGGCACCCAGGAAGAGCCTTCCAGGTGCAGAGCACAAGGACTCGGGCCAGCTGGGGGTAGCAAGGGGTGCAAGGACCAGGAGGCTGACTTCAGAGAGGGGTTCAGGGAACGCAGGGGCATGTCTATGTGTATGGGGGCATCAGTACAGTCTGCAGCGGGTATGGGCTTTGCATATGACCCAGGGCCCCACAGACACTGTCAAGACCTTAGCTTTTACTTTGAGCATGACCAGAGTCACTGCAGGCTGTGAACAGAGTGTAGCAGAGCTTATGCCCTGCCAGGGTATTTTTGATTTGCTAATGTGATGGGAGGAGACAAGAGTGGAAAGAGAGAAACCCATGAGTTAGCTGTTGCATAAGCCAGAGCAGACACTTGGGGACTTGGGCCAGGCCTCAAGGGGGAGGGACAATGGACACCTGCAGCCCCCTTTCAGAAACAGTCTTAGATATGGATGAAGCCCTGCGTACTTCTGGGCCTCACTCCTGCACCAGCAAAGGCTGGGCCAGTCTCTCTTGGTGGAAGCTGCTAGGCAGTCACCTGCGGTGAAGCAAGCCGCTGCCCCTGCTGTACCCATTGCTTCTGTGGGGTGTCCTGGCAGCGAGAGCCTTCACAGGTTTCTGCCATGCTTCCTGCTGGGAACCCAGACAAGGATGCCAGGAGCCAGAGGGAGCAGGCCCAGGCAGGCAGCCCTGGTCTGGACTCCTGCTGTGTGAGGTCGCCCCAGCTGAAAGCACAGCTCCGATGAATGCCATCTGCCAGGGGCTCTGACTACAGGAAAGCCCCTAACTTTTACTCATGAGTTCCCCAAGAAAACTGTGTTTGAGGGAGATAAGGAGAGATGAGTATGTCTTGGAAATCGAGAGCCTTGGGCCTGAAGCTGTGAAGACACTTCCTCCTTAAAATGGTGTTTCTCCTGTCCCTAGGGGCACAAATGTAATGATCAGTCCTGGTTTTTAGATTGGAGAACATGATTCTTGATTTTTTTTTTCAGTACTATGGATTATTGAACCTAGAGCTTCTGCTCTGAGCCACACAGCCCTCCCCCTTAACTTTTTTTAATTTTGAGACAGGATCTCACTAAGTCACTAAGTTGCCCAGACTGGGCTTGGACTTTCAATCCTTCTGCCTCAGCCTCTAAGAGTGCTGGGGTTACAGGTGGGCACCACCATGCCTGGTTCATCCTTGTAAGTCTGGAGACTGAGGCACGCAGGCTGAAGACCTTGGGGTACATTCTGTGTGCTGCCTACTAGTCGAGGCTGTGGGTCCAGGACACAGCGTGGGCATCCTGTTCCCAAGCTTGAGTTCCAGTATGCAGAGCTCCTGGAGCCCCTTCCACAGGGCACAGCGGAGGGATGGAAGCTGGTTAATGTGATTTATAGGTGAAGCTCACAAGAGTTCCCTCCCGCACGGCCATCTCATTTGTTTGTCCACAGTTGGAGCACATTCCATCCGGCATGCTAAGGATCTTCTTTGTTTAAATAACAGTTTTGCTGTGGTTTAATTTGTGTACCATAGAATCCAGTAGGTTTCACTGCATTCACAAAGTGTGTAACTATCCCCACAACACAATTCCCCAACATTTTCATCAGCTCCAGCATCAACCTCACCTGTATTAGCAGTCATTCCCCACACCCAGGTCCCGGTACCTGCTAATCTGCATCCTGTTTCTGCAGACTGCCTTGTTCAGACATGTCAGATAAATACAGTCCTGTAGTACCGGCCCTTCTGCATCTCACTTATTTCTCTTAGCATAATGTTTGCAAGGTTTGTCCATACTGTAGGTATAGCCTGGCTTCATTTCCTTTTATGGCTGTGTCATAGGACAGATTACCATGTCTGGTTTATCTGTTCATTGCTCAGTGGATGGATAGCCAGCTTATTTGTACCAGTGGGTTATTTGGATGAACCGTGCACGGAATGGGGCTGCCTGAGTATTCACACATGAGTCCCCGGATGGAGGTTGGCATCTACCTAGGTTGCTGGGTCACACAGTAGCTGCAGTGTTACATGAGAAAATGCCCCACTGTTTCTCATTTTGCGTAGTAGTGCATGACGGTTCCACGTGCTCTTCCTGCAAACCGTGAGGTGCTCATTGCCGGCTGAAGAGCGTCCCTCCAGACTTCCCCTGGATCCCACAGAGCCTGCGAAGGGTGGGCGGGATCTGCAGCACTGTGGGGTGTTCGCCCAGCCTATGTAGGGAGAGCTCAGCCATGGCCTGTGATCTGTGTCTGATGGGAAAGGGGGCCGGGTGACTGGACCCTTACGGAGCCTCTGCCCCAGAGCCAAGGCCGCTCACGGTTGCACAAGTCTAAACTCACAGGTGCAGCCAGTACAGCTCCAGACAGGAATACACTTTGAGAACGTCCTCTCCCACCAAGCCTGGGGGCTCCGCAAGCCGTGCCTATCCCAGTGTACTGATTTTTATGCTTTGCTGTGTCCTACACAGTTCCCTACCTATCTGTTGCTTAACAAAAGCAGTCTCGTCCAGGACCAAGCAAGATGAAGTAGAAAGCATCTCTTCCCAGAATTGAAAGGAGCTGAAGTTACCGGAGTTGGCCAGCAGGGGCGCTGTCCACCGTCTGCCCGCTTAAATTCTGGCGCGTGGTCCAGGCCTCCGCCGGGAAAAGCCGGCTCTTCCTTTCTCCACCCCTGCCAAAGCTCTCCAGGGTGTGTGGCCCAAATGCCTGTGCAGAGCAGCTGCAGGGCACCCTGGGGCAGCATTCTGGCATGTGGCCATCCCCCCAAACCGCAGCAGCAATGAGCCAGGGAGTGGCAGACCAGACTGGTCGGAGGGTGGGACCACCCTCCCTCCCCCGGGGGCCTTTGCCAGGGCTACCCGGGACTGCTCTCAGGGCATGGTGCCAACCTAGCTATGGCAGTGCAGCAGGGTGGCTCACTGCTGACCTGAGCAGAGAAGGTGACAACACTTAGGTTCTGGTGCATAAGACCAGAGGAATGAAGTCCCGATTCCATGGCTTTGACAGAGTGTGTGTCACGGAGTCTGTGGAGGGTCCCTGCAGCAATAATCAGAATCGCTGTGGATTTATGGGACACATGCTGTGTGCCAGGTCGCAAGCCCCCTGCGTTTGTACATGGGTTTAAAGTGCGCCTCTGCAGGGACCGCCTCTCTCAGGGAGAACCCAGGCTCAGAGGCCAAGCGACCCGCCAGGGGCTCTCAGCTGCTAGGTAGAAAGGAGGGGAGGGTGTGAACGCAGGTCTGACTTTTAAGTCCCTGGGGACCAACACCTGGGGTCTGAGTCCCGTCCCCCCCCCCCGCCCCCAGCGAGAGCTGAGCCCCCACGGCTGCTGTGGGAAGAGGCACGTGCTTTGCAAGCTGGTTTATTCGGGAGCTGGTGTGGGGGCCTGGAAATCCCAGGGACTGGGAGGGCTTTCGCACCAAGCTGCTCATTGGTGTCACCGGCACCAGCAAAGAAAGAGCAAAGGGGTCTGCAGAGGAAGAAAGGGGGACAGAGGCAGAGGCAGGAGCCCGGCCCAGAGTCTCCCACCCAGGAGCTGCCTGCCCAGGGTTGGCAGCAGCAAGCGCAGCCTTCATCCTCTCGAGCAGGGCCGACAAAGGGCAGCTGAATCACAGGGATTCTCAAGAAATAAAAATTCCTAGCACACCCCTGGGGCTTCAGGGAAAAACTGACAGCATGTGGATTGAAAACAGACCAAGCTGCTGCGCGCTGGTGGAGGAGGCCTCGTTCTCCCGGGCTCGCAGCGACATCTAATGGCCTGGCGGGGTACTGCCGTCCCGGGGCAGGCAAAGCAGGAAACTAAGGGGTCCACACCCAGAGGCGGGCGGGGCCGGATGGGGGCAAGCTTTGATTTGCTTTTGATTTCTCAGAGGCGTGGAGGCTACAGAATAATGAATGCAAAGAAATGAATTAACACAACTTACAGGCCCACTTAGTAACTATAAACACCGGTCGTCACGGGCACACGCGTGGGGAGCAAGGTGAAATGTTTCATTGGTGATGGCTGGGCTCTGGTCCCCACGTGGCACAAGCACGTGTCATAGCTGATAGACACATTTGTGTGTGGTGGACGCGGGTGGCGGAGTTAGCACTGTGCTCTGAAAACCCCAGTGCTGCAGTCAAGCAATCAAATTTTAAAATGTACCACTTAAAAAAAATCACATGATATGTTTATGGTCTGTGGGGCTGCGTGACTAGCTATCTACTCAGGGTGGCAGGTGGCAGGCCAGCTCCGGAGGGCTCACTCGAGTCTGCAGCAGACATCCCCTTCTTCTCTGGCTATCACAGCCTGTGTTCCACAGGGCCCCAAGCTCCCCTTTGTGGAATATGTCAACCTTCCAGGATGTGTGTCATCCCCTAAGGGTGGCAACTGCGGCCCTTGGAGACTGAACTTCCCTGCTTTTCCCTGAGCAGCCAGTTGTCCGCATCCACGTGAGCACCACCCAGATGTTAAGTGGCTGTTCCTTCCTCCACCCCTATTCCTTTTATTTATGAAATATAACTGTATGTGTAGAATGGTGGTGTCTTAGATGACTTTTACACAGATGCTATGTCTAGGGAGAGACTATTCTTGTTGGATTAAGTATCCAGAAAATAGGATAACTATCCTTCTCTGCTAGTTCAGAGACCTCAGTTTCCACATTGATCTTGATCAGTAAGTCTGTTTAGGATGAACACTGCATTACTTCTAGTGCAATAACGTGCTGACATTTTTGTCCCCTTCCTTGCTGCCCCTCACTCCACTTAAGCTCTGGCTCATTCACTTGTCTGATGGCCTCCTTGGATACAGTGCACCCCGTGTTAGCACAGTGCCTGGGGCATAGGTGACACTCAGATCTTAGGGGTTTGACTGAGGGGCAGGCAGCCACAGAAGGAAAGTGAGAGAATTCACTCGCTTGGGAAGAGCTAGATATATGGTTTATATCTAGACGCCCCCCCCCAAGTCTCATGCAATCATAGGTGAGACTTTTTCAGAGGTGGCTGTATGGCACCATGCTAGGATCAAGGCCACTAGGCTTATGAGTGTGAGCGCTGCATGCCCCAAGTAGCCTGGATACGATATCAGGGTTAGAAGGAGCTGTGGTCATCCCTTGTTGCTTTGCGACCTTCTGCCCATCATGAACGAGTCCTCCTCTGTGATGCCTGTCTGCCACACCACTCTAGAGGCCTTGGAGCCAGCGGACGATGAACTGAAACCTCTACAGACTGTGAGCTAAATAACCCTTTCCTCCCTTAGCCTTGTAGTTAAGTATTTTGTCTCAACAATGAGAAAAGAAACTAAGACAGAAAGGGATTTGTCAGAATGGAGCAACCCTCACCAAGAGCCCCCACCTAACCACATCTTGTTAACAGTGTGGTGGGGAGTGGTGTGTGGCTGGACTCATTCAGTGTGGCATTTGTAGCGCTCCTGAAAAAGCCTATTAAATATCTGCAGGCTGGTGGTCCTGGGAGGGCTCCTGAGGCTAGGCGCCATTGGAGCCCCACAGGGGACTTTCCTTTTGAGGAAACTATGATTCTTGGTGAGCCAGTCTTCCCTGGAAGAAAACTACTATCCCCAAGCTAAATCCTCTCCAAATTATGGGGTTGAACTGTGTGCATGTACTCGGTTCCTTTTGTTGCAAAGAACAGAGATTTACACGTTTACCTGAGGGCACATGAGGAAATAAAAGATCTGGCTCCATTCCCTGGTCTCAGAAGCCAGAAGAGGCAGAAAAGCTGAGCACGTGAGGCCTTGCTTAGTGGATGTATGTATGGTGAGTACCCAGCCAGCATCATCTGAATGACCCCCAGAAGTGTGGGAAATGGGCCACTGTGCTAAGTTGGATAAGTACTGACCAACAGTTAGTGTGTTAAAGGCACGGGCCCCAGCTGGCACCATTTGAAGGTGGTGGAGTGAGGAGGAGCTGAGCCTGTGGAAGCTCTTCAGGTCACTGGGAGTGTGCCTTTCAAGCAGACTGTGAGACTCCAGCCTCCTTCTCATTTGCTCCCTGGCCATGTGGTACGCAGGTTGCTATGTCATGAGCTCCCCACCATTGCCCTTTGGGACCTCCACTAGCAGCCCAAAGCCTGATTCTGCCCGATCTTGGACTGGGCCCTCTAGAACCACAAGCCAAAAGAACCCTTTCATTTTTAGAAGTTAATTATCTTTGGTATTTCATAATAGTGACTGAAGGTAACTCAACAGTGTTAAGGGTACCACCTTGGTAGGGTGGAGTTAGGATTCAGTGACATGAATCAGACTCCAACATAGGCATGTGACCTAGTAGGCTGCCAATTGATGAGGCAGCATGAGAATTCAATATGGAAGAGGGAAAAGCAAGGGACGTCTGTGGCCTGGGACTGCATCTTGGTAATGGGGGTAGTAGGGGTGTGGTGAAGGGACACAGCAGGGACAGTGGTGCTCACAGGAGCATGACCACCGGCAGTGGGCTAAAGCCTGTGACCAGATGGAGGGGAGCTGGGTGTTGCTCGTGGCTGCAGAGCCCCAGTTTCTCTTTCGCTCTGCTGGAGATTCTGCGAGCCCTTAACACACTGAGCTGAAAAAAAAATCTTTTTATGCTTAAATAAGTGAGATAGGTTTTGTTGTTTGTAGATAAAATCCTAATTGATAAATTCATTATGAAAGTATAGTTAGGCCTCATGGCAGCTGGGATCAGAAAGTCACTCAGGATCTAGAGATGTGGCTGGTGAAGTGCTTGCTCACATGCACAAGGCCCAGCATTGGCATGAAAACCAAATCACACAATAACGTTCATTCGGCACTCCAGTTAGCTATAGAAGGTTAAAGCCAGCCCAAGGCGCTTTGCCTCAGAGAGGTTATACTCAACTGTACCCTGGGGGGGGGGGGGCTATTGCTGCTAGCTATCCAATATCCCTCCAGTGCGGAGTGACCAGAACTTCAGGACTCAGCACATTTGGTCCCAGTATTGGGGCCTTTGGAGGACGGAGTAATCTGTGAGACCAACAACCTGGAAGTGTCTGAAACAGCTATGAGAAGCCAGCAACTAGGCTTTGGAGAGCGCCACCAACATAGACCAGGCCCAGCAGAAGACCGACACTCAGAGGCTAAAATCAGCACCGTCAAGACAGTTCCCATGCAGACTTGGTTGGCGACACAGCACATTCTGGGATCCGATGTGGACAGGGCACAGAACCATAAGCACCAGATGTGTGTTGCTACCTTTATTCTCCCTTGTTTCTCTGGTTGGCTACCCCTTTCCTGTCTGGCTGGATGCCATCTTGTTTTGTTTTGTATTTTGTGGTTATTTTTGTTTCTTTTCTCCTCTCTTCTACTCATCTCTTTTCATTCTTTCTTCTTCATCCTCCTTCTCTTTCCTCCTCCTTTTTTCACTGTTTAGGCTTCTCCTCTTTCTCTTTTACTTTCTTCTCTTGCTCCTCTTACTCTCTCTCCTCAGCTACTTCATGAATTTAAACTTGTGTTCTGTTTCATTCTTTCCCTTCTGTGTCCTCCAGTTTCTGAAGACTCAGTCGACTATCCTTTGACCTCCAGCCTTGACTGTGCTGTTTGACCTCAGTCATCCCTTTAGCCTGTTCTCTACCCATCTTGAATCCTGCTCCCCACCTCCTGCACAAGGGTAAGCTCACTCCACTAAGGGGAAAATCACTGCATACGATTGCACAGTCTATGTGTGATTTTGTTATAAACTTTAGAGTCTGCTCCTGTGGTGAGAGGTAGCAGGTCGGCTGTTATCACAGTTTGTCAGTAGCTAAGCTGTGCTTGAAACTATTGTTATTACTAACTGTACTACTTTAGCCAGGATGCAACACATGCTGTAATCAGTTTTTCTCCCTTGTATGGTAACGTTGTTATTGTGTGCGGTTGTCATCGTTACCGCAGTCCAGCACCAAAGGATTGGGTGCTGAGCCAAAGAGTAACTTTACGTCCTTCACAAATTGGGAGGAGAGGTTCATCAGTTGGCATTAAAGAGCCACCTACATCTAAGGACAGCTTTGAAGAACAGACATGAATGTACACTTCTCAGGTGAATAAATACAAATAGAAAATAAATATATGAAAAAATGTTCAACGTCATTGGTCATTTGAGAGATGCAAGTTAAAGCAACACTGAGATTCCATCTCACCCCAGAAAGAACGGCTACCATCAAGAGGTTAACCGATAAAATATGCTGGCAGGCCTGTGGGGGAAAAGGAACCCTTCTTCAGTATTCGTGGGAGTGTAGACTGGTACAACCACTGTGGAAATCAGTGTGGAGACCTCTCAGTAAACTAGGATTAGAGGTCCCGTTTAAGCCAGCTATTTCCCTTCTAGGTATTTTTCCAGAAGAATTAAAAACATCACACCACAGCAATAGATGTGCACCTGTGTTTATAACAGTGGAATTGGTCTTAGCTAGATCTTGGAAACAATCCAAATGCCCATCAACCAAGAAATAGATAAAAAAAAGATGTGGTATTTTTATGCAGTCGAGTACTGCTCAGCTATAAAGGACAAACTTGAGTCTTTTATAGGTAAATGGATACAGCTTGAAGCCACACTCATCGGTGAAATAAATCAGACTCATGTATAAACATCATACTGTGTCCCTCGTGTAAGACGCTGAAAGAGTAAATAAGATCCAAAATGTACAGTACATATTGTGAAATGAGAAGAAGCTGTTCAAAAGAAAAGAGCAATTAGGATGGGAAAAAGAGAAAAGAAGGAAGGGAAAAGGAAAAAAATATATATGTACACAAGACAGTTAATGTAATTATGCTACTAATTTCTATTCATTAAAAAAAAGGCTTGTGCTTAAATTGATCAGTTTCTCATACCTATATCTTATAATTGGGCACTTTGTTTTTTTTTTTGCTACCTTTCTTTTTTATTATTATTTATTTATTTATTTGTGTGTGTGTGTGTGTAGCCAGCTCAGCCCACCAGGGGGCGGGGCTGGCTGGCATGTGGTGCTGGGGGACCAAACCGCAGTCCCTGTGCTTTGCTAAGCTTGTTTTAAGTAGTTGCTTTAGACCACTGAGCCATCTCACCAGCCCTTGGGCACTTACTTTGAAGATAACAATATACAATGTATTAGCCTTTTTTGTTTGTTTTGATTCTTCAGCTAACACAGAAGAGATGATTTATTGCATACACTTTACACTCAGTCAAAAGTGAGGAGAGAAGTAGTCCAGAATACTACAGGTCTGGGGCAAAAAGCCAGGGGACTGCTTAGTTTGAACCAGGTAGATCTCTCTTTGCAGTGGTCTTGGCGATCAGATGGCAATGAGGTACTAATCCATTGAGACATTCTAGACAGCATGCAGTCCAAAACTTGCACCAGCGTTGTCGGCCTCCAGCGTTCATTTCTGGTCTTTTGGCCTCCATGGCTGTATGGGCTATTTTACTTGGACCTCTGTCTCATCTTTCTTCTTTTATGCTTCAGCCTGCGCATTCACTTCGTCTTCCACTTGGCTTTCATGGTGCAGAGGTTTCAAAGAGGATGGCATTAAAGTTGAGAAAGCCAATGCAATGTATTAACCTTATCATACTCCTACTATCTTATTTTGAAATTTTGTACAACGTTTTAATTATTATTTTTTCTCTTTGCAATTAAAAAAAAAAATCTTTCCAGCAACAACCATGTTCTGTTGCTAGGCCCTGTGTTCTTATTGAGCTGACGTCATGGCCTGGATTTAGAAATAGTGTATGGTTCAAGCCAAGCCAATGAGATTGCTGCTTCTCCCCAGCTCTAGTGATTGGTTCAGTGATAGATACATGTCCCAAGGTGGACCAATGAGAGCTCTCCCTGGACATGTACTCTACCCCTAGGACACTGCTTTTTTCCTGTTGAGGCTGCTAAGCTGGGAGGAGGTGAGCATATACATAGCATGGTACCAAAGTTGGCCACCTTGTTGAGTGTGGGAAGAGCCTACCAACTGAAGAATAACACCAACTGGAGCTAGGCTGATGGTGTTGAGCAGCCGCATTGAGCCGTAGCTGAAGTCAGTGTAATCCTCAGATTTTTCTATTACGTAAAGCATCAGATTCCTTTGTAAGTTCATTTGAGTGGGGTTCCTGTTACTGAAACCAGCAGGGATCTGACTAATACAATGGCACATGTTCAATTGCCTAGTATTTGGCAAGCCTTTAAAGGGACCAAATGACATCCCTCCTTATAGTATGCACTCAGCGACTCCTTGAGCCTGTGTCTTTTATTTGAGAACAACTGTTTTGGCCCTGCTTGGAACATGGCCCAACCCCGTTGAGATTCACATTGGAGTTTGCCTGCCTTGAGCTGCAGCATGGGGCTAAGGCTCCTGGCTATGTGCAGGCACCTGGGGTAGATGAATGCTTTTCCTGCAGGAACACATCAACTCTCCTAGGAGTTTGGCTTGCTTTTTCTCCCTCCCGCACGTGCCCACTTTCTATCATGAGTAGAAGCAGTAAGAGGTCCTCACTAGGAGCCAACTAACATTGAATCTTGAACTTTCCAGCCCTGGAACCGTGAGCCAAACAAACCCCTTTCCTTTGTAGATCACCCGGCCTTAGTATTCTGTTAAAGCAGCAGAAAACAGACCAAGACAGGTTGTAACTACCTCTGTCTATACTAACAGGATGAAGTTTTCCCACATCCTGGGACACATGTGGTGGCACTGGCACATGTTGGTCCTTGTGTTCTGCCTCTTCCTGCAGGGTACATCTTGGGATCCTCTCCTTCTACCTGAAGCGCTTCTCTCAACATTCTGTCTGACAAACACTGTTGCAACAATACAAAGCCTCCATCACAACCCAAGGTACATTGCCACCTGGAGTACAATGTGCTGCCCACCTGTGAAGGCTATGCTGCCAGTCAGTGTGCAGAACCGTTTGGGTCTGGGCTCTGGCATCGAGTGACTCGGTGTCTGCTTTCTCCCTCACCTCTTCCAAGTGTATCTTCATGATTCTTCTCTGCTACCAGTTGGCTCATGTTCTCTTTATTTCTAAAGTCAGTTACCTAAGAGGCAAAGATAATTGATTGATCTAATTGCTAATTCTGACTCTCATCTCAGCAGCACTGGTTGAGCTGGAGCATGCCAGACACTCTAACCAGTCTCTAGCTAGGCCGATGGGCCAAGATACCGCTCCCCTGTCCACTTACATGGCCAGGAGTGGGGAAGGGTAGGTCACAGGAACTCTGCGGAATTCCCTCCTTGGGAATCATGATGGGGAGATATTGTTAGCCAGGAATTGAAGATATGACCCTTCCCATGACTGATGTGTTTGGTACATTCTCCCATCCTAGCAACGATATGATGAAATCCAGATGATGGTGGGGTGGGATGATAAGTGTGGAGGACTGACTTGACCTCCAATACTTCTCTCCCTTCTGCCTCTCACTTACTGGCTGCTGTCTAACTTAGATCATTACTTTGCGGATCACAAGGGAGAGGGATGGAGTAGCTCACACTCTTCCCTGACTCGGAGTATGCATCCCACATCCTCACAGTGGGACTTTACCGGGGCTGAACATTGGGCATAGAGCTGAGAGTTGAGCATCTTCATATCCTTTCCCCCAAGCTGGACCAGGGCACATTTGTCCCGTGAGTTCCCCTGGCACTGGGAGCAGGGCTGAGAATATCACCATGCTGTCATCTAGCTTATTTCTAGTTTATTCTTCAGGGTTGTGCTAATCTTTTAAGGCTCCTCCAGAATTCATGTTTTAAACCAAAGTGCTTTCAGAAAACGTTGGTTACTCTGCCCAGGACACTGTCTCAGACCAGACCCCACAGAAGCGTGGAAAGCTCTGCTATCAGCCAACTGTGTGATCTGGTGACCGGAAAGACACTTGAGCATCTCTTTTCAAGGTAAATCAAGAATTGAGGGTATGACAGCTCTGCTCACCATGCGGGCATAGGAGGGAATCTAGTGAGGAGGGCGGACTGTCCAAAACTCCCCTTTGCCTGGCTTGAATGTTCCTGGTTTGGTCATTAAGCTGATAGCTTCCCAGGGGCTATCTTCTACTGAGACTTACAATGGAATCACTAAAGTTCAAGTTCTTTTTGTATTTAAAGGCTCCTAGAATCTTAGAATTACAACTTCCCAAACTTTGGTAGTTAATTCCTTCAAGTTGTAGGGTCTTTCTGGGAGGTTGATTTCTTTAGTCCACCAGGTGCTGGTGACCTGTTGGACTTTCTCTGCTAAATAAGTGTCTCAAACCAAAAGTAGTCTTCAGTCTAGGAGGACACCAGCAAGTGACCTTTCTCCTCCTGGAAAAGACCTGGCTTGGTGGCTAAGTGAGTAGGCTCTGCTTGATCCACTTGGGTTCACATATTGATTCTACCATTAATAATTTGTGACTTTGAATTAGTTGCCTAACACCCTAGAACTTCTGTTTCCTTCTGTGTAAAATAGGGATGGCAACAAAGACAGTAAGTCAGCCACATGGTGGTGTGTACACATTAAACAGGATTGCAGCACTCAGGAAATGTGTGTAGTACTTCACAGCCTAGGTGGGGTTTCTCAGGGACACCTTCAGACCTTTGTCCCCAGAGACCTCCAGGGCCTCCCTGCTCTTCAGAGGCATTTCAGGTGAGGGTGACAGAAAATTCAGAGCCATGCAGCAGCAGGGAAGTCCCCTTCAGCTCTGTTCCCCTGCCTCTAGGTACCCCAAGCCAAACTAGTTCTAGATATGATAGCCAAGGCAGCAGCTGGCCTGGACAAGGGCCATTCAGCAGGTAGGAACATGGTGGGCACTGACAGGTGGAAGCCATCTGCCACTCTTCAGTACAGCGTTCTGTTGTAAGGCGACAGGGACACTCTCACTGGGCGCAGGCTTATGGCACAAGGGATGGGCCCCAGGGAAGAGCCCTGCCCCTACCCACACTGTCTTGGGTCCTCTCCTGGTTAGCAAGACAGGCTCCCAAGGCCAGGCTCCAGGAGAGCTAATCTGGCTCAGCCAGGCTTGCCTTAAGTCAGTGATCTGAAGGGCCAGGAAATCCCTGAGAAGAGTCCAGTACCTGGGAGGTGACAGCCCAGGCAGGTCCCGGCTCACACACTCCTCCTTGCTGTGGGTGCTGGTGCTCCTTTGCTTTTCTTTTTGAGAATAGTCCACAGAGCTCATCTAATTTAATACCCAAAAGAATCCTGCAGGTGGACTGAGTTTACGGAGGAAAAACTGTGTGGGAGGGTTAAGTCAGAGAACTTTGAGATCATTTACTTCACCCCTTTGTTATGCAGGTGAGAAAGGTGAGCCAGAGAACTGCTGGTCATCCCACTAATTAGAAACAGCCAGGGGGCCAGGGAGATGGCTCAGTAGAATAAGTGCTTCCCTGGCAAGCTTAAGGGCCTGAGTTCAATCCCCAGTTCCACAAAAAAAAAAAAAAAAAAAAAAAAAAAAAAAAAAAAAAAGAGAGAGAGAGAAGCAGCCTAAAACTGAGAGTTGGTACCTTTGTTTTGTTCTTCGGGTGCTGACTTGGGGAGACAAAGGCTCAGCAAGCCCTGTGTGTCCTTATCGGCTTAGGCTCCTTTGGCTCCGTATGCCTTGGACCTCACCCTGAGGGAGTAAACCTGGCCCACTTGACTGCTCCAGCTTCCAGCGACCTCAGGGTGCCTTGCAACCCTCAAGCTGGGGATCTCAGACCTCGGGCCCAGCGCCTCAAGCCCTGGGCATGAGTCAGCACAGGCCTAGCCTGCATTCTTTGGCTTGTTCATGGGTCCCAGAGTCTGCCAGATTGTTGGAATTTGGCTGGGTGCACCTGGAAGCCTGGTCTCTGGGTTTCATCCGTTAGAGAGCACCAGCATGTTCTCACACTGGCTTGGTCAGCTGTCACCTGGGGTCAGGGGCTGGCTCATCACTGGCCTTAGCCCAGTGCCTTGCAGGTGTCCCTAAAAGAAGGAAGGGGACACTTCATGGAAAGATAGATCATGAAGGGGATGGGTGGCATTTACACATGAAGATGCCCCAAAGGGCAGCTGCACTGGGCTCTCCTCCAGCATGGTGCCAGGCAGTTTCCCCAGATAGGAGGGTCCCACCCCGGTTCCTTCTTGGGAAATGCTGCCCATTTATGCACCTTTCTCCAGAAACATCTGCTCTGCTGCACTACAAGTATCTTCTTCGCTGAGTTGTTACCATCCATTACGTTCATATTCAAATTAGCATGTAGGGTGGGAAAGACTGGGAGGTGACAACACCTGTCAGGGTTAGAAGGGTGTTTCCAGTGTAGGAAGACCTGTGCGCCAGCAGTTCGTTGCACTAAGATAAAATAAAATAAAATAAAATAACAAAACATAGCACCAAAACTGTCCCTGAGAGCAAGAAGCGAAAGTGGGGTGCCATCTTGTTCTCAAGCTCCAGCCCAAGGTCACCTTGGGAGGCCACCACCTATCTCATGGTAGGTGCTAGAGAGCCACAGAGTCCCAGTTTACTGGAGCTGCCAGAGTGACAGTGACATTTAGCACACTCATGACACCTCCCAAACTGTGAGCAACTTGGGGACGTGTATCACAGGAACACCAGGCTCTGAGCCAGGAAACCCAAAGGGGACCCAGTGACAGTGTCCCTGGATGACAGCACTTCTGGGCCAGCCAACTTCCAGTGACAGCAAGCAGGACCTTTAGAGCCATCAGGCTGAGAAGTGCAAGGCCAAGAGAGGGCAGGAATCCTGAAGGTGCTCTGTGGCCAAGGGACAGCATTCCACGCTTGGGAATGGCTGGCCAGCCCTGCTCACCTCTCTCTCCCAGAGCCTGCAGCCCAGCCCCAGCCCATGGGTGACCACAGCACCACACTCCGCCACGAGAAGCGTGTTTTACACGATCACTCGGCATATATGTAGCTGCGTGAGTATGTGCACACCTGGGAAAACCTGACGAGATCTTGGGGTTTATTAAGTGTGATGGGCTTGGAATTTTGTTTTGTCCTAGTCTAGCCTTTGTACTCTGGTCTATCCAAAATCACATTGCTGGATTTCACATCCCTCTAATAGATGGCAAATGTCATGTTGAAAAACACTAGAAATTTAAAAAAGGAAGGAAGAGAAGGAAAGTTGCAGGAAGAAATTACAGTTGAATCTCATTTTAACAACATTCAGAGAACTCCCTCCTTAGAGCCCCAAGGGAAATTCTCCTGTGAAGCAAGTCTCCTGTTGGCATTAAAGAAAACCTAGCCTTTGGCTTTGGGTTTGCTTAAAAACAAGTCCAGGGGCTGGTGAGATGGCTCAGTGGTCTGAAGCACCTACTTGGAACAAGCTTGGCAAAGCACAGGGACTGCTGTTCAATCCCCCAGCACCACATGCCAGCCAGCCCCGCCCCCGGTGGGCTGAGCTGGCCACACACACACACACACACACACGCATGCACGCACGCGCGCATACACACACACACACACACACACACAAATATTTAAAAAAAAAAACAAAACAAAAAAACATGTCCAGCCCACTGCCTGTTTTGGTGTGACCTGTGAACAGAGAACCATTTTTAAATGAAAAATAAAAAATCCAGAGATGAAGATGAGTTTCACTGCACATGAGATGCAAATTTCCATGCCTGTGTGTTTCGGATCCTGGCTTTCCTTGTTCGTTTGCTTCTTGTCTATGACTGCTTTGGGGCCACGATGGCCTGCGGAGCTGAGAGCTGAGCTGCTGCTCTAGAGACTGATGGGTCTGCAAAGCCTCAAACATTTGCTGCCGGCTCTATACAGAGAAAGTTTGCTGATCTCCCACTTAGAAAATGATGTTTCTTATGCTGGGATGGGACAGCGCCCCAAAAAGGGTTCTGCTCTTGAGGGGCCTTGAAAGGCCGTGCCTGTCTCTGCCACCCTGCAGTGAACGCCTGAGCAGGGAACTTGCCTAACACGGCCAGACTCCCAGGGGTCTCAGCCCAGCACTGGGGCTCCGAGTCCCTGTTGGGGCTTTTCTCTCCTTGTTCTGCTAGTGCCACCTTTCTCTTGCTTTCTTTTGTCTTTCTGTGCACTTAATGTGAGCTCTGGTTTTTCGTGACCTGATTTTCTTTTCCCTCCTCCCCTACATCTGGATGAAGCATCTGGACTGTTCTGGGCTGCATTTGGGGGGAGCAGGAGGGTGGGGAGCAAGGAGCCCTTTTGGCTTTAACTTTAGGGATGGGGTAGGTGCTGAGGATTCAGCAGAAAATGTTTTAGGGGACTCTCAAACCAGAGAACATGGGATGTTCAGTGGCACAGTGCCTGCCTGGCAAGCACGGGGGTGTGAGTTTGATTACTGGTACCAGAAAAAAAAACACAGACCACAGCTTCCCACACTCGAGTTTCTGCGCTGAAGAAGGCAGGAAACAGAGGAGGATGCTAAATGCATAGGAATCCATGGGAGAGGCTGGGAGGCACAGCCGCTGAGGTCACAGCCCTGTGTCCACACTCAGGGAGGACATTTCAGCAGAGGATACCTGAGGGGCAGGCTCATGGCCACCCGGGGCAAGCACCATCCTAGCAGCCAGCACCTCCCTGACTGGGCAGGACCCCATCCCAGCCTACAGCCGGGCCCTGTCCCCATCACCTGCACAGGCATCCACCACCCTGGCAGCCTTTCCAGGTGTGAATCTGAGGCAGAGGTGGGGACTGGCCATGAGGGAGCAGGATGACCAACCATCCCGACACTGAGACACACTGGAGGATGAAGGCAAAAGAATGCACAGCTAAACAGCCAGACAGAAATCAGATGTTGGAATGCAGCAGAAGTGACTGCCCACCTGAGGAGGGTGTGCCCCACCCACCTCTGCACAAGGGCCCCATTTGTGTGGCTGCTGGAGGCTGTCTGATACCACCCTTCCCTTTGGCTGTGCTTCCCTTTGGTGCTGTGCCTGCTTGGACCTTGTGGTGGAGGAAGGAGTCCCAGTCTCTCCGGCTCCCTCCCCAGCTTTGGTCCTTCCTAGGAGGGATGCACAAGCATAGCGGGAGGGTAGAAGGTAAGCAGGAGGCCTGTTCTAGCTGGAGGCTGAGCAGCTATCTGCAGCCTCCTTGCTGAGACAGTGGCCACTTCCTTCCCTCCATGCCAGGACTTAACAGACTGACCTGCATTTCACAGAAGTCAGTGTGACCAGCTCAGCTCAATTACAGTCGATGGCTTGATCTCATTTATTTTCTTCCATATACTTGAAGTTAGGACAGCTTCTATTTGCAATGGAAATTTATGCAAATACTATGTAAATTAGGTCATTCCCAGATTAACTGGGGGAAAAAATCTGGTCGCTTTAGCAGGCACCATCTGTTCCCTCCTCATTCTTTCCATATCTGAGCCCCACCCTTTCCTTCCCCAGCAACTTGGAAACTTGTTTTCCTGCAGCTGAGATAGATCTTTTAAGGGAGGGAAACATTCACCCCTATTTCTCAGGTGGTCTGATCCATTGTCTGTCTGTAAAGAGGTACAGGTGAAAGGCTGGGGAAGAGATTGGGATTCTCAGGGCTTGAGGGATCAGCATGGGCTGCCACATCCACACCCTTACCTCCACGGACTGCAGTCCCTCCAACATTCCAGGGGACTCTGGAGTCTGCCTGTGTGTGTGAGATGTGCGTGCACGTGTGCACATGTGCGTGTGCCCCTTGGCTGGCAGGCTCGGTCATACCTGCTCTGGGGCAGTGACAGCTTCTGTCCTGCTCTGCGAGGCCTGAGAACCTGGTATTTCTGTAGCCAGAAGAGGCTTCCACTGCCCACTCTGGCCCCTTACTGTGACTGAAGAGGGGCCCTGGCTTCTCAGTGTCACTTTTTCCTTCAAGGGAAATCGTCCTTCATCCCACCACCAAGCACAGCCCCAGTTGTCTGGAGGTGTAAGTACTTTTAGTGCTAAATGCCTTTGCTATTGTTAGCCCCTGAGATTCTGAGGTTGTTACTGTAGCAGAGCTTCGTGAAAGCTGACTAACAGACCCTCTCGAATCATCATCAACCTCTTCCCAAAGCTGCCTCAGAAAAAACTTTAATATACGCCTATGTATTTTCTTTTTTAAAATTTTTTTTATTTATTTGTTTACGTGTGTGTGTGTGTGTGTGGCCAGCTCAGCCCACCAGGGGGCGGGGCTGGCTGGCATGTGGTGCTGGGGGATTGAACCGTAGTACCTGTGCTTTGCTACAGCTTGTTCTAAGTAGGTGCTTTAGACCACCGAGCCATCCCACCAGCCCCCAGCCTATGTATTTTCTTAATCTAAGGTCATATGAAAATAGAAGCATCTGCATTAAAAAATGTGCTTTTCTCTTGATCCATTACAGACTGCGGAAGGGCACTTGCATACCTGGCATCAAAAGCAGACCGCTGGGCAGAGCAAAGACCTGGGCCAGGGAGCCCCGCACAGCTGGAGCAGAGCAAGCGAGTCCAGAGTGGTAAGAAAGTCAGAGAGGGATGGGCAGGGGGCGGCCTGAGTGCAGGCCCCAGGGGCGGTGAGATTTCAGGACAGAAACACAAGAGGGCACCGCGACACTCTTCACAGACACTTACTTTGTTTTTTTGGTTTTTGTTCATATGTTTGTTTCTTTGTGGTACTAGGGGACCTTTGCACTAAACTACACCCC